AATGTGGTTTGCACAACTGACAAGTTTCAAGCGAGAGTTTTCGGACAGGTAAATACCTTCAGGTGAAATAGCATGAGAAGGTGGAGGAAGCCAAACATGTGTAATCCCGGAAGTAGCTTAAAGAGTTGCACCATCCTCTTTTCTTGCTTGATTCCCAATTGAATCCCTGATCATCGGCCCCCCGAAAATACATTAGTCCTATGGAGAGAGACAGAGAGACGGAGAGAGGTTATGTACTACTATAAATACCTGAAATAGGATCTGGGAAGCACTGAAGTCGGCTGCAAGAGTGGTAGAGAGAAGGAAATAGATGAGGGAAATGGTTTACAGTGTTCGTGTTTCCTTGTAATGAAACCAGATCCTTTGATAGAGGTGTGAGAACTTGATTGTTACGGTAAATTGCATACCTGACAGTTTTTAGGCCTAAAAATGTGAAATCTCAACTGTTTTGGTAAGTGATTGAAACCTGTATATACCCAGAGATATGAAACCTGTACTGTTTTGGTAAGTGAGTGTCCTGACTGTCATTCAACGGACCATTAGAGACATGCCTTAATTGCTAACGCTGCTATCTATGGTGCGACTGACGTTAACTTGTCCCAACCAATTGCCAATGATGGAGAATTGGAGATGGAGGCACTGGTTCTTTGCCAAGGAACAAAAAGAAAAAAATAAGGTCATGTTAGGCTAAGTTGTCTCATAGGTCTACTCTCAATGCCATTTTTTCGTTTAACAACTAAGATATTGACATGTATACTGACACATCATTTGGCGAACAAATTTGGTAAGGAAATTAGGGGTCTCTAATGTTAACCTCAAATAGTGATATTTCAATTGGATTCTTCATAGATAAGAGTCCTAAGCAGTTTAATTGCTTCCAAAGAAATTCCACACATGCAAATTGTATTCACTTTCTTGCATCTTCCAAAGAAACCTCAATTTTTTATTTTTGGTAGACTACTATTTGCTTTATTCCTTGATAAATAAGCATAAAATACATTTGCAACACAACAATTTCTAGTCACTTCATTCCACAGATGATATTCAAGACCTCATGCTTTTTTCTCCCACACGGCGTAATCCTTTCCAGAAGTTGCAATTTGGTAGGTTGGAGGTACAAGGTTCCCAACGTCATACCTTGAACCAATCTTTGCTATGATTTTCTCATCTATGGCAGCTACATAGAGATCTGCATCAGATGCTAGAATACGCAAGGCACTGTTGGGTTGGATCCCGTTCCGGGATCTGATTGCAATGAGTTTAGTGATCTCCTCTTTCAAGCCCCAGTCAAAGAAGTGGTCATAAAACTGGTACAAGATAATCAGGTAAACAAATGTTAAGAATGGACTATAAGTAACATAAGTTTTCTGCTCTAATAAGCACAATAATCAGAATCTCATATTATAGTCAGCTAAACGAGCATTAGTGTGGGCTTATGAAGATGCCAACTTTCTAACTTGAGAAAAGGTAACTCAAATTTCGAAACTTACAATTGAGGGAATTCCCGGGTGAGTGAGAATATAGGCATATCCCTGCATGACTTTATCTGATGGAAATGGCCAAATTTTTTGTGTGGAACCTGTATCATGATTGTCTATGAAAGTTACGCTCTTTCCAGGCAACAAACCAATCATTCCTGGAGCCCTTCCATTCGGGTCCTTCAGTCGCCACAGTTCCCCTTGGACTGCCTGTTGAAGTATCCCTTTAGTGGTAAAATCAAATGCTGTAACATCTCCTCCAGCACCCTCTACCCATCTCACAAGCTCTTGACGATGGGCATCCTCACTTCCAAAAGCAAGGGGATTCCAAAGTTCCCCTACTGCGAAATTTGGACTTGTGTTTGTCATATACAACTTGGTAATTTCTGGAGAATATCCCCTGACAAAATCAAATCTCCACCCACTGAACCCAATTTCAGTCTTTAGCCAATTCATCCAATCCGATAGCTCTTTCTGGACTCTTGTGTTTTTGTGGTCAATATCAGGAGCAGCATCGTAGGGGGCTCCAGTGTCAGGGTTCCCCTTGCCATCCGAATATTTTGTGTCGTCGCTGCAAATAAGAGACGGGCCCCAATCAAGGCGTTCATCTGGAGTTCCTCCTTCAAAGAGGCACCATATTCCTCTCTCATCTTGTTTCTCTGCAGTTCTGTGGTTTATAACTATATCTGCCACAGCCTGTATCCCACTACCATGGAAGGCGCTTATCAACGACTTCAGTTCATCTTGGCTTCCATATTTTGATGCGCTGAGATCATAGAGCCTTCCAGGCAAGTATCCTGGAGAAAGGGAAGAATTGGCATATGGCAGTCATGCAACTGCTGCTAAATAGCTAAAGACTCTATGCTTTCAACATTGCCACAAACTAAATTTTAGGGTCATTTCAAATATATTGTATCTAGTTATTTAAATACATCGTATCTAATGTTTATAGATTTTGATTTTATTTTTGACTAATTTTTTTTGGTTATCAAAGTTAAATCATTCCATTCAAATGCACCCAAATTAAGTTCTAGCTCAGCAACTTCAAAAAAAAAAAAAATTCTGATTTTACCTTCATCTGAAGCAGCCTGAGAAGGTGGAGGAAGCCAAACATGCGTAATTCCAGAAGAAGCTAGTTCAGGTACGGACTTCCTTAAAGAGTTGTACCATCCTCCTTCCTTCTTCCATGATTCCCAATTGAACCCCTGATCATCAGCCCCCCACAAAATAAGTTAGCCCTTTGACACATAGAGAGAGAGAGAGAGAGAGAGAGAGAGAGAATATTCTTTCTGTAAATACCTGAAAAAGGATTTGGGAAGCAGTGAAGTTGGGCAGGAGATTGATACAGAGTAGGAGATAGAAGAGAGAAGTAGTTGGAGATTTCATGTCTCTTTCCTTGTCTCTTTCTTTGTGAAATGGTGTCCGTTTCATCGTTGTATTTAAGATTATCTTGCAGGTGTGAAAACGTGACTGCTATTTAGTCCAACTTGGTACAAATATTTCACATCAAGAGAATCGAACTTAGATGTCTTCCACATTTGTGGAAGAGAAATATCATTACACTAACATCACGTCGAAGTCAAGCATTTGGCGAAGTTTTTCTCTGTTGTCACAATACAGGGCCTACATTATGAATCAAGTACTCCTGGTTTCAATTTTACACTAGAACAACCAGTGTGTTATAGCAAAGCCACCAAGCAAAAGTAGTGATTTGCAGACACATTATGCAGGTTATCAAATGTGGGATGATTGTATCACTCGTTCGGCTTTCAGAGCTTTCTGACGAAAATCTGATCGACAAAATGCTGAAATTTTTAGATGTGTTACCCTCAAAAGCCCCAGTATTAACAATTTTATGCATTGTATTTAAGATTATCTTAGAAGATGCAGGTGCGAAAACGTGACTGCTATTTAGTCTATAACTGGGTACAAATTCCATACCAACGTCAAGATATTTTCTTTTAATCTGTGGAATAGGAAAATTGAACTTGCTACTCTTACCATATTTGTATACCACATTCTCCACCACATTAATTGGCAATTTGAAAGAAGGATTTATGGAAAACGTAATAAAACCTGCTAAGAGTACTTGATTTTCCACACGGCAATAGACTTTGTCTTCTGACGTATCTCTATCCAATTGAAGTCTTGAGATACTTTCCACACGGCTGCGTCTGATACCTTAACATATCCACCACCAATGTCAATGCATGCATGGATAGTATCTTAAGACTTCAATTGGATAGAGATACTTGAATGATACTTGAATGGTATTGTAGAGATACTTGAATGGATAGTATCTTAATACAATGATGGAACGGACACCACTCCTTTCCCATGAACCAAATATTGGATTCTATAGGATTGTTCTGCAATACAGGGCCTACATATGATTCAAGTACTCTTTTGCCCCACTCTTGGTTTCAATTTTACACTAGAACAACCAGAGTGTTGCAGACACATTATGCAGGTTATCAAATGTGGGATGATTGTATTACTCGTTCGGCTTTCAAAAGCTTTCCGACGAAACAAGAGGTCTTGAATCAATTCACGCAAAATTAACTGGGCATGGAAAAGCGAAGGGTCCGTTTTGTCATCTTCCAACTTCTGCTTTTTCTTGAAAGATAGAGAAGTAAAAAAAGGGAAAAGTGAAACGCGAAAAGAAAAGGTTATAAGGACTCCACAGGAGGTCTTGAATCAAACCACACAGCATTTCACAGAAAGATGATTTTCTCTTTTCTACTTTGTGAATACCATTCATTTCTCCATACAAAGGCCAACTCAAAACAAATGATTATCCAGAGAAGAATTATACAGGAATTTCCTTCTATTTTATACACCAGAAAGATACCAAGAGACTCCATCAAAAGAAAAACAAGATAACAAGGGATATGCTCGACGTTCCTACCTCCATATTACCCATAAGAAGGATCAAAGAAAACTTGAATATGGAAGAAAGTATGAAGCACTTCCTACAGATAATGACCACTTTCGAGTGGAACGATAGGCCAACCAAAGTCAAAGGGACAAAGATCCTATTTAAAAATCACTAAAAAAGGCATAGCTTTTCACTTTGAAATGTGTTTGGCTGTGCATGAAAGTAGATGTTATACATGGTTGGCTCCAAGAACACGATATGGGGTCTGAGTACAATGAACAATCTCAAAACTCCAAAATCCGTCGAGTAGTATGGGAGGGCAAATCTCTAAAAAGGGGTGGCCCAGTGCACCAAGCTCTCACCAATACTAGGTCTGGGGAGAGCATAAAGTATCAACCATAGGACAGTGCTAGAAAATCTAACTTTATTCCCAACTCTACCATATTCAATTAGTACCAATAAAATGAGAAGTTTTATAATGTAGTTTTCTTAGGTATTGGTGCATGCATTTATTAATGAAGGTTTCTTTTACAGAAAATACGACTTGCTTCCAAACATATTACTGAATCAATGAGAGTGAAAGAGAAGAAATATATTTTCCAAATATAAAAGAGTAGTTCTCACAACAAATTTTATAAGCAGTATAAGGCTTTGTAAGATTCAACCAGATTACTGAATCAATGAGAGTGAACGAGAAGAAATATATTTTCCAATTATAATGAAGTAGTTCTCACAATAAATTTTATAAGCAGTATAAGGCTTTGTAAGATTCAAACTTGTAAACAGTATATATGGTTTACCAGATCTTATATCTTCTCCAACTTTTCCTCTATTTTTCAGCTGTCTTCTTATCATTGCACATATCATAACCCACCAGTATATGTGGAACACAAACAGCATCAGTAACAATGTATTGAACACATAGTACAGTAGAGCTCTGGGAGCAGGCTTCGAAAGATCCAAGCAGTCAATAAGGTCATAGCTGGAAAATACCAACCATAAGAAAAGATAAGTCAGAGCCACTCTACATGTAAATTTGGTTTAATAAAACGGTTTACCATGAGAGCAGACCTTGATGACCTTATAACCCAGAAGGGGAAGAATATTAGCCTTAGTATGAGCCACGAAACAGCAAAAAATCCAAAGAACACACTTGTGGCAAGCTCCTTCTCAGAATACTTGAAAACCTTGGCAGCTTCCAAAAATACATCACTCGCGTCATGCAGGGCAAGAATGATTGAGCCAATCCGAAAAATGAAAAGAAAGTCATTGCATGAGATCCTCTACACCACACAAATGCACATTGCTAAATATATGCTCGGTGATACCAACATATTATTGTACTCGCAGAAAAATCTGGAAAATACCACGTAATGTATGAGTACCCAATCAGGAGAACAATAATTACATGGTGAGCCATCATCACTGAGAAATCCTTCCTTCGAGTCTCCCATGTAAGGAGGGCACCAATGCTATAGGTATAGAATCCACATTGACCCATATACAAAAGCTTTAGGGGAAGCCTGAAACGAGAAAGGAATAGAGTTAGAACAGACAATTTCAGAATGCTATGTCTGTAAAACTCAGATTATGCGAAAACTCATCATTGATCTAGAATTATACAAATTCAAGTCATTCCTAACTTCGGTACTCCCCCAACCCCCCCGCCTTCCAAACAAATCATGCAAAAATTGAACTGTAGACATGATCAAACCATCTTCAGCATTTTTAAAAAAAAGGAAGAGTTATCTAACAAGTACTACTAGTCCAACCGTATGCATCACTCACCCCAACTCTTGGTTTGGCCAGCCTTTAAAGTACTCTTTTGTATCTCTGAACCATGTCTCCTGGTAGCTTATCTTGAGAATGCATGCTTCAACAGTGGCATAGTATGTTAGCTTCCAAAGTGACTCTGAACATTTTACAACCTTTGCCCGTGTAGCCATATCGAGCTTCAATGGAGCAGATCCCTTGCTCAGCAACCAGATGGAAATTTTCTGAAACACAAAAAAATTACAGTATGAGGATTATAATTCAAGGTAAGATAAAACGTGCAAATCTGCTAAAGCTGCATGCTTTCATGTTCCTTTTCACTTAAATAGTTACCGATGCTGCTTTGTTCCCCATATACTGGTAGGTTATGATATATAAGAAGACAGCTTTAAAATAGAGGAAAATTCAGCCGTATGCTGCTTATCAAATTTGATTTAAGAATATATTTGGAAAGTAGTCAAAATTTGGATCGTACTTTTTTGTATTTCACTTATGGATCTTATGAAAAAACATAAACCTGGTAAACTGCATCCTTGAATATTCATTTTCACTTAACTTATAAGGATAATTATCAAATCTATGGTATGCTTGCATATTCCTTTCCACTTAATTTGGAGATGGTGTGGTGGTGGCGGCTATGGTAAAAGGTAGGATTACGGTGGCAGAAATGTTAGGTTACCACGAACATATTGAAAATAAACTTCAAACAATATGAGGAAGATCTTTTTTTTCATAGCACAAGAATGGAGTACATAGGTGTATATACAGAACACCGAAATATCAGTTCTCCTAGTACATGCTCTAGAAATCAGTCTTGAATTAAGCTAACCTAACATTTGGAGGAAGCCAATGTAACAAGCTGTAAACAGCCTATATTATCAACACCTGGAAAACCAGTTAACAATTCCAAGGGGAACATCTAGTTCACCTTAAATTTCTACAGGGATAATATAAAGAGCACATTTCAGATGCTAGACCGAAACTTGTGCTACTGAAACCTTGAATGTCCCAACATCAGCAAGTTAATAATGAACCATTCAACCTATACTACAAATATTTTACACACAAAAAAACTCCACTGCAATTCTGACAAATCAGCACAAATCTCAATTTTCCTGAAATCATGGCAAGATTAAACAAGTACCATGTTAAAGTCCTATAACAAGCATTCAGATGGTAGGGCACACGCTTGTACTACCATGTTAAATCTTCTTGTCCTTGCAATTGTTCAAGATTCTTTCTTGACAATTATAAAGACAAACTCAATTCTTTGAACCCACAATAAAGAGATGCAAGTTCTCAAACAAACTAAAATTCGTACTAAAAGCCCAATTACTTATCGAGCCATTATTTGGAGTCCAAGAAACAAAAGCGCTTATCCAACCACAGTCAAAACTTTGGAAAGGAAAAAAAAATCATAATTCAAAGAAAATACTACAAGTTAGTATCTAATAAGGAAAGTAAAGGAGGACAAGATATGCAATTCAAGATTTTATTCTCTCTGTTTTCCACATTTATCTCAGAAGTCAAACAGATTCTACCAATTGAAGATTCTAAAAAGAAAGAGCACAACCAAATGCTTAAGCAACTTGAAATCCCAAAAACAGCTAGAAATCTTACGCAAAAGATGAATCTGTCAAAGAAGAGCCGAGCAGCCAAAAACCCAAAAGTGAAGTAGATAACGACAAGGAAATGCCAAGTGTCTGGTGCGCCATTGTGGCTCCAGAACGATTCCATGTGCGTCTTAGAACCAGAACTAAACTGAAAAGCATCAATCAGTGAACCCCGGATCAAATTCAAGCTCAGCTTCTACCTCAATGCCTCAGAAATCAGCAACCGCGATGCAATAATTGCACGCGACTTTCTTCCATTTCCAAATCTTACAACTAAGATATTGACGTGTATATTGACACATCATTTGGCAAACAAATTTGGTAAGGAAATTAGGCGTCTCTAGTGTAACCTCTAATAATGGCATTTCAACTGGATTCTTCATAGATAAGAGTCCTAAGCAGTTTAATTGCTTCCAAAGAAATTCCACACATGCAAATTGTATTCACTTTCTCGCATCTTCCAAAGAAACCTCAATTTTTTATTTCTAGTAGAGGACTACTATTTGCTTTATTCCTTGATAAATAAGCATAAAATACACTTGCAATACAACAATTTCTAGTCACTTCATTCCACAGATGATATTCACGACCTCATGCTTTTTTCTCCCACACGGCGTAATCCTTTCCAGAAGTTGCAAGTTGGTAGGTTGGAGGTACAAGGTTCCCAACCTCGTACCTTGAACCAATCTTTGCTATGATTTTCTCATCTATGGCAGCTACGTAGAGATCTGCATCAGATGCTAGAATACGCAAGGCACTGTCGGGTTTGATTCCGTTCCGGGATCTGATTGCAATGAGTTTAGTGATCTCCTCTTTCAAGCCCCAGTCAAAGAAGTGGTCATAAAACTGGTACAAGATAATCAGGTAAACAAATGTGAAGAATGGACCATAAGCAACATAAGTTTTCTGCTAATAAGTACAATAATCAGAATCTCATATTATAGTCACCTAAACGAGCATTAGTGAGGGCTTATGAAGATGCCAACTTTCTAACTTGGGAAAAGGCAACTCAAGTTTGGAAACTTACAATTGAGGGAATTCCCGGATGAGTAAGAATATAGGCATATCCCTGCATGACTTTATCTGATGGAAACGGCCAAATGTTTTGTGTGGAACCTGTATCATGATTGTCTATGAAAGTTACTCCTGGCAACAAACCAATCATTCCTGGAGCCTTTCCATTCGGGTCCTTCAGCCGCCACAGTTCCCCTTGGACTGCAGCTTGAAGTATCCCTTTAGTGGTAAAATCGAATGCTGTAACATCTCCTCCAGCACCCTGTACCCATCCCGCAAGCTCTTGACGATTGGCATCCTGATTGTACTCTGGTTTTCCATCACTTCCTTTAGCAAAGGAATCACTCCAAAGTTCCCCTACTGCGAAATTTGGACTTGTGTTTGTCACATACAACTTGGTAATTTCTGGAGAATATCCCCTGACAAAATCAAATCTCCACCCACTGAACCCAATTTCAGTCTTTAGCCAATTCATCCAATCCGAGAGCTCTTTCTGGACTCTTGTGTTTTTGTGGTCAATGTCAGGAGCAGGTTCGTATTTGGCTCCAGTGTCAGGGTTCCCCTTGCCATCAGAATATTGTGTGTCGTCGCTGCAAATAAGAGACGGGCCCCAATCAAGGCGATCATCTGGAGTTCCTCCTTCAAAGATGCACCATATTCCTCTTTCATCTTGTTTCTCTGCAGTTCTGTGGTTTATAACTATATCTGCCACAGCCTGTATCCCACTATCGTGGAAGGCGCTTATCAACGACTTCAGTTCATCTTGGCTTCCATATTTTGATGCACTGAGATCATAGAGCCTTCCAGGCAAGTATCCTGGAGAAAGGGAAGAATTGGCATATGGCAGTCATGCAACTGCTGCTAAATAGCTAAAGACTCTGCTTTCAACATTGCCACAAACTAAATTTTAGGGTCATTTGGTATTATATGGATTTCAAATGATTCCTTATAAATAGTTCTTTCAAATATATTGTATCTAGTTATTTAAATACATCGTATCTAATGTTTATAGATTTTGATTTTATTTTTGACTAATTTTTTTTGGTTATTAAAGTTAAATCATTCCATTCAAATGCACCCAAATTAAGTTCTAGCTCAGTAACTTCAACAAAAAAAAAAATTCTGGTTTGAACAGATTTTACCTTCATCTGAAGCAGCCTGAGAAGGTGGAGGAAGCCAAACATGTGTAATTCCAGAAGAAGCTAGTTCAGGTACGGACTTCCTTAAAGAGTTGTACCATCCTCCTTCCGTCTTCCATGATACCCAATTGAACCCCTGATCATCAGCCCCCCACAAAATAAGTTAGCCCTTTGACACATAGAGAGAGAGAGAGAGAGAATATTCTTTCTGTAAATACCTGAAAAAGGATTTGGGAAGCAGTGAAGTTGGGCAGGAGATTGATACAGAGTAGGAGATAGAAGAGAGAAGTAGTTGGAGATTTCATGTCTCTTTCCTTGTATCATAACCTGCTGGTTTGAGCTTAAAGTAGCTTTGTGAAATGGTGTCCGTTTCATCGTTGTATTTAAGATTATCTTGCTGGTGTGAAAACGTGACTGCTATTTAGTCTTTGGAATAGGAGAATCGAACTTAGATGTCTTTCAACATTTGTGGAAGAGAAAAGGGCTGGCAATGGGTTGTGTCGTGTCGGGATAATAAACGTGTCAAGAATGCTTAACCCGAACCCAACCCATTTAATAAACGTGTCGTGTCGGGTTCGGGTCGTCTTTTATCGTGCGGGTTTCGAGTCGTGTAACGGGTTCATAAATAATTATATGCATGTTACGAAACTCACAGTTGAAAAAAATTTAAATTAAAAAAAACAGAGAGAGTAGAGAAAAAATAAAGAAAAGAAAAAAAAAAAAAAGATAAAGAGAGGAGAGAAGAGAGAAGGAAAAGAAAGAAAAAAAATAGAGAGAGAGAGAGAGAGAGAGAGAGAGAGAGAGAGAGAGAAGAGTGAAGGAAAGAAAGAAAGAAAAAAGAGAGATGAGAGAAAACTAAAGAGAAGGAAAAGAAAGAAGAAGAAAAAAGGAGAGAAGAGGAAAGGAAAAAGAGAGAAAAAAAAAGAGAGAGAGGAGAAAGAAAAAAAAAAGTGGAGAAGAGAGATGGAAAAGAAAGGAAAACACAAAAGAAAAAAAAAAATTATAAATATTAAAAGACATATGATAAAATCACAAAGTTGTTTGTAGCATGGTGGATAAGGTGTTTGAGAGAAATGAGAGTGGTAGGGGTTCGAAACTCCTTGTGTGTGTGCTGAAGTCTCCATTTCTCTTCATTTTTTAGCGGGTTGACAGGTATTATAGCGGGTTGACACGACCCGTGACACGACCCGTTTAATAAACGGGTTAGGTAGGTATTATAGCAGGTTGACCCGAAACCCACCCGTTTATTAAACGGGTCAGAACGGGTTGACCCGAAATTGACATGTTTTTTTATCGTGCGGGTTGAACCCGCTAATTTCTCGTGCGGGTTTTGAGTCGTATATCGGGTCGTGTCCGAAATTGCCAACGTCACGTCGAAGTCAAGCATTTGGCTAAGTTTTTCTTTGTTCTGATTGGTTGAGTCAGACCGCAATCGGCTGCGTCTGATAACATATCCGCCATCAATGTCGCATGCATGGAAAGTATCTTAAGACTTCAATTGGATAGAGATACTTGAATGGTATTGTAGAAGACAATTCTAGTAACGTGTGGAAAAGGCTCTAGTATTAACACTTTCATTACGTTTTCCACAAATCCCTCTTTCAAATTGGCAATTAATGTAATTAATAGCAAAGCAAAGTAATTTAACAACTCAAATATTTTCCCAACTTTCAAATATTGGATTCTATAGGATTGTTCTAATGCAATACAGGGCCTATATTATGAATCAAGTACTCTTTTGCCCACACTAAGGTCATGTTTGATTTCTGGGAAATGAGGCTTGGGGATGGGAAATCAATTGTTTTCCGATATTTGGTAAGTCCAAGCATGGAAAAGTTTGAGAAAATGAGCCAACATTAAATACACATTTTTCATGACCATATTGCCCCCATTAACAATTTAGAATTACAATATAACATTAAATGTATTCTCTTTTTTATTTGACATTCCCACACAAACCAAACATGTGAAAGGAAATAAAGTGATATTTCTTGATTACTTTCCCATAATTACCAAACATAGGAAATGAATCTCCATTTCCCATCCATTGGAAAATGACATGGAAAGTTATTTCCCCTCAAATTCGTTCTGTGAACCAAATGGGGCCTAATGGTTTCAAGTTTACACTAGAACAACCAGAGTTCTATAGCAAAGCCACCAAGCAGAAGTGATTTGCAGACACATTATGCAGGTTATCAAATGTGTGGTGATTGTATTACTCGTTCGGCTTTCAAAAGCTTTCGAACGAAAATTTGATTGACAAAATGCTGAAAGTTTTAGATGCGAGACCCTCAAAACCCCTAGTATGAACACTTTTATGCATTGTCCTCAAATAAGAGGTTCAACACCACAAAGGAGGTCTTGAAGGAAATCACGCAAAATTAAATGGGGATGGAAAAGCTAAGGGTCCGTTTTGTCATCTTCCTAATTTTGTTTTTCTTGAAAGAGAAGGAAAATAAGGGAAAAGTGAAACGTGAAAAGAAAAAGTTCTAAGCACTCCACAGGAGGTCCGAATCAAATCACACAGCATTCCACAGAAAGATGATTTTCTCTTTTCTATTTTGTGAGTACCTTTCATTTCTCCATGCAAAGGCTAACTCAAAACAAATGATTATCCAGAGAAGAATTATACAGGAATTTCCTTCTATTTTATACACCAGAAAGATACCAAGAGACTCCATCAAAAGAAAAACAAGATAACAAGGGATATGCTCGACGTTCCTACCTCCATATGACTACCCATAAGAAGAATCAAAGAAAACTTGATATGAAAGAAAGTATCAAGCCCTTCCTACAGATAATGACCACTTTTGAGTGGAACGATAAGCCAACCAAAGTCAAAAGTAGGCTCCCCAGCATTAGCACAGACAAAAAAAAAACTTGGGAAGCCTAATCATCATCCTCTGAATCTGTATACATGCAGGAAAAAAAAAACAATCATCAGAAAAAGGGGCAAAGATCCTATTTAAAAATCACTGAAAAGGCATAGCTTTTCACTTTGAAATGTGTTTGGCTGTGCATGAAAGTAGATGCTATACATGGTTGGCTTCAAGAACACGATATGGGGTCTGAGTACAATGAATAATCTCAACTTCAAGTGACTGAGAATTTGAAACATGGACATCAAACCAAAATCCTTCGAATAGTATGGGAGGGCAAATCTCTAAAAAGGGGTGGCCCAGTGCACCAAGCTCTCACCAATACTAGGTCTGGGGAGAGCATAAAGTATCAACCATAGGACAATGCTAGAAAATCTAACTTTATTCCCAACTCTACCATATTCAATTAGTACCAATAAAATGAGAAGTTTTATAATGTCGTTTTCTTAGGTATCGGCGCATGCATTTATTAGTGAAGGTTTCTTTTACAGAAAATCCGACTAAATGCTTCCAACCATATTACTGAATCAATGAGAGTGAAAGAGAAGAAATATATTTTCCAAATATAAAAGAGTAGTTCTCACAATAAATTTTATAAGCAGTATAAGGCTTTGTAAGATTCAAACTTGTAAGCAGTATATATGGTTTACCAGATCTTATATCTTCTCCAACTTTTCCTCTATTTTTCAGCTGTCTTCTTATCATTGCACATATCATAACCCACCAGTATAAGTGGAACACAAACAGCATCAGTAACATTGTATTGAACACATAGTACAGAGCTCTGGGAGCCAGCTTCGATAGATCCAAGCAGTCAAGAAGGTCATAGCTGGAAAAGACAAACCATAAGAAAAGATAAGTCAGAGCCACTCTACATGTAAATTTGGTTTAATAAAACGGTTTACCATGAGAGCAGACCTTGAAGACCTTATAACCCAGAAAGGGAAGAATATTAGCCTCAGTATGAGCCACGAAAGAGCAAAAAATCCAAATAACACACTTGCGGCAAGCTCCTTCTCAGAATACTTGAAAACCTTGGCAGCTTCCATAAATACATCACTCGCATCATGCAGGGCAAGAATGATTGAGCCAATCCGAAAAAAGCTACAAGTGGCCAAAAAATGAAAAGAAAGTCATTGCATGAGATCCTCCACACCACACAAATGCATATTGCTAAATATATGCTCTGTGGTACCAACATATTATTGTGCTCGCAGAAAACCTGAAAAATACCTCGTAATGTATGAGAACCCAATCAGGAGAACAGTAATTACATGGTGACCCATCATCACTGAGAAGTCCTTCCTTCGAGTCTCCCATGTAAGGAGGGCAACAATGCTGTAGGTATAGAATCCACATTGACCCATATACAAAAGCTTTAGGGGAAGCCTGAAATGAGAAAGGAATAGAGTTAGAATACACAATTTCAGAATGCTATGTCTGTAAAACTCAGATTATGCGAAAACTCATCATTGATCTAGAATTCTACAAATTCAAGTCATTCCTAACTTCGGTACTCCCCCCTCTCCTTCCAAACAAATCATGCAAAAATTGAATTGTAGACATGATCGAACCATCTTCAGCTTTTTTAAAAAAAAAGGAAGAGGGAGGGGGTGCGAGAAGGGGATTATCTAACGAGTACTACTAGTCCAACCATATGAGTCACTCACCCCAACTCCTGGTTTGGCCAGCCTTTAAAGTACTCTTTTGTATCTCTGAACCATGGCTCCTGGTAGCTTATCTTGAGAATGCATGCTTCAACAGTCGCATAGTATGTTAGCTTCCAAAGTGACTCCGAACATTTTACAACCTTTGCCCGTGTAGCCATATCGAGCTTCAATGGAGCAGATCCCTTGCTCAACAACCAGATGGCAATTTTCTGAAACACAAAAAAATTAAGAGAAAAAAAATTTACAGTATGAGGATTATAATTCAAGGTAAGATAAAACATGCAAATCTGCTAAAGCTGCATGCTTTCATGTTCCTTTTCACCTAAATAGTTACTGATACTGCTTTTGTTCCCCATATACTGGTAGGTTATGATATATAAGAAGACAGCTTAAAAAAAGAGGAAAATTCAGCCTTATGCTGCTTATTAAATTTGATTTAAGAATATATTTGGAAAGTAGTCAAAATTTGGATCGTACTTTTTTGTATTTCACTTATGTATGAAAAAACATAAACCTGGTAAACTGCATGCTTGAATATTCATTTTCACTTTAACTTATATAGGATAACTATCAAATCTATGGTATGCTTGCATATTCCTTTTCACTTAACTTGGAGATGGGGTGGTGGTGGCAGCTATAGTACAAGGTAGGATAAGGGTTAGGGTGGCAGAAATGTTAGGTTACCATGAACATATTGCTATGATACCATGTTGAAAATAAACTTCAAACAATATGAGGAAGATCATTTTTTCCATAGCACAAGAATGGAGTACATAGGTGTTTATACAGAACACCGAAACATCAGTTCTCCAAGTACATGCTCTAGAAATCAGTCTTTTCCTCTTCTTTTTCTTTCAATAAATTTCGTTTCTATTAAAAAAAAAATTAAGCCAACCTAACTTTTGGATGAAGCCAATGTAACAAGCTGTACACTGCCTATATTATCAACACCTGGAAAACCAGTTATCAATTCCAAGGGGATCATCTAGTTCACCTTAAATTTCTACAGAGTTAAGGACCTATAAAGAGCACATTTCTGATGCAAGACCGAAACTTGTGCTACTGAAACCTTGAATGTCCCAACATCAGCAAGTTAATAATGAACCATTCAACCTATACTACAAATATTTTACCCAAAAAAAAAAAAAACTCACTGCAAATCTGACTAATCAGCACAAATCTCAACTTTCCTGAAATCATGGCAAGATTAAACAACTACCATGTTAAAGTCCTATAACAAGCATTCAGATGGTAGGGCACATGCTTGTACTACCATGTTAAATCTTCTTGTCCTTGCAATTGTTCAAGATTCCTTCTTGACAATTATAAAGACAAACTCAATTCTTTGAACCCACAATATAGAGATGCAAGTTCTCAAACAAACTAAGATTCGTACTAAAAGCCCAATTACTTATCGCGCCATTATTTGGAGTCTAAGAAACAAAAGCGCTTATCCAACTAAGTTACACAGTCAAAACTTTGGAAAGGAAAAAATCGTAGTTCAAAGAAAATACTACAAGTTAGTATCTAATAAGGAAAGTAAAGGAGGACAAGATATGCAATTCAAGATTTTCTTCTCCGTGTTTTCCACATTTATCTCAGATGTCAAACAGATTCTACCAATTGAAGATTCAAAAAAGAAAGAGCACAACCAAATGCTTAAGCAACTTGAAATCCCAAACACAGCTAGAAATCTTACGCAAAAGATGAATCTGTCAAAGAAGAGCCGAGCAGCCAAAAACCCAAAAGCGAAGTAGATAACGACGAGGAAGTGCCAAGCGTCTGGTGCGCCATTGTGGCTCCAGAACGATTCCATGTGCGTCTTAGAACCAGAACTCGACCGAAAAGCATCAATCAGCGAACCCCGGATCAAATTCAAGCTCAGCTTCGACCTCAATGCCTCAGAAATCAGCAACCGCGATGCAATAATTGCCCGCGACTTTCTTCCATTTCCAAATCTTGGGATCTATATCTGCCCTAATCCTTTCATGGAGGGGAAGAAAGTGCGTTGATTTTTCTGGTTCGGGAGTGTGTGCGTCTGAAAAATAGAGAGAGAGAGAGAGAGAGAGAGAGAGAGAGGAGAGAGAGCGTGCCGAGTGGCAAAGGACATGAGGTTGAGATCTTGTCCTTTATTATTATTTTATTTTTATCAAGTCGTTTATTTGTATATATTTTTAGTTTATTTGTAAAATGCAGGTGGGCGGTACGCGAGAATTTCAGAAAGTCATACTTTCGTAAAATGCCGCCAGTCTTCTCTTCTACATTTAGAGAACTCGTTATTTGACCATGGTGTTTCAAACTTCCACCTACAACCTAATTTCGCAAACGAACATGTTTCTTTGAAAAGTATTTTGATGTCTTAAATATCGTAAATTGGTTATATAGATTATCTTTAATTTTTTCCTCATAAGACTTTTGTGTAAAATAAAAAAATAGAATTTTTAGGTCTAATAGTTCCTGAATTTTAACCCGATTCACTTTTGTTGGGACAAATGATCATGTCGACAATTTTATTATCTTTTCTATTAAATGCATAGACAAAATAGAATTTTTGTATTATTTATTATTTTCATCCTATGAATATTCCTTTCATCCAAAAAATAAAAATACAAACTAAAGACCCATTCGTTTATGTTTTCGGAGCATAGTTTTTATTTTCTGTTTTCTGTTTTCACCAAATATGCATTCGGCACCGCTAAATTGAAAAACATATAATTTGCTTTTTGAAAATGAATTCAACGATCATGAACAAATATTGAAAACGAAAATTTGTCGTTCTCACGGACTTCCTTGTTTTTTTTACTGTCCGAGCCTGTGGGTTTTTTTTCGGTCACCTCATCTCGATCTCGTCTCTCGGATATATATAAATTATTATTTTTTAAGGAGGTAAGCTTTCTTTAGAAAGAAAACGGGGCAGAGTTAAGGAAAAAAGAAAAAGCCTAACCCAAATAAAAAAGAGTGAAAAGTGTTTCATCAAAACGGTTGTCGTGGGGCATCGTTGCCGCGTTTCGTCCAAAGACGGTCAGAAAGGGTTTCTGTTTACTCATACCCCACAAACACACACACACACTCTCTCTCTCTCTCTCTCTCTCTCTCTCTCTCTCGACTGTTCTGCTTCTTAGCAGCGAGGACCTTAGAAATGCTCCAAAAACCTGTAAGTGCTTTTTTCTCTATCTGCTTTTACATTTGTACTTGGGCGCAATAGCTTTAGCTCAACCTCAAAACAAATTTCAATGATTGCTATTACTTCATAATCTGATTTGTCAAGGAATGTGATGTGGTGAAAATTGTACTTCTTATGGGTAGAGATTTGGGCAATTGTCTTTAAAGTCTTCATTTTTTTCTTTGAACTGTGTCTATGAAAGAATCTTCAAATTCTGAAAGTGCTCGAATTTTTTATTATAGATGTTATATTAATTGTCTGAAAATTTGTATGCAATACAAGATGGGTTTTGTCATGGTTCTTGATGTTATTGCATTTCCAATGATGTTAAAATTGGAACAATTCAGTTTCAATCATCAGTGGAAGTGAATTAGTTTACTTTTAATCATAGCTATTGACCAAATAATAGTAGAAACCATTTGTAACAATATCGTGGACTATTTCGTTCATGATAGGATCTCGTTAGGGGATTTCATTACCTCATTGACCATGCTAGAGGAACTTTTATATCCACAACTTCAGCCAACCAAACTAAGCTTATTGTTGGAAACCAACAAATAAGTAAAAGCCGAAATCTTTATATTGCCCTGCCTGCACTTTATGAAAGCCACTGTGGTTTTTTTTTATTCATTAGGTCATTTAATTCTTGGAAAGTAAATCCTATTATTTGAAGGATTTTTTTATTTTAAGAAATACCTTGTGCAGACTGCAAACAGTCTGTACGGTTGAAAGCTCACCTCTATTTACAGAGTTGATAGAGATGATGTTTGTGCAGCTAGAAATACATTGTGTGAAGTAAAATAGAAATAGAAGATGAGATGAAAACTCTATGAATTAAGAGTGCATTTTGAGTCTCAAAGACAGATGTACATTGTGTGAAGTAAAATGCCACGAATAGTCTTTGGTCTTCTAGAGACCTCATCAATATTCAATAATCCCATTGAAGAGTTTGTGAGGTTGCCTCACCAAAGTAATGTATTAGTCGGCTCTTTTAATAGAAGCTCTTCTAGATTTTAAAATATGCCATATCACATTTTGTTATACTAATCGATGTTTTAGAAAGCCGATATCTTCCCAGTCTACGCATGACCTCGTTCTGCTGCATTCATGAGATTCTACGGTTTAGGGAGTTCGCTGCAATCCTGGTCTTGTTTATCCAGTTAACTTGTATCCATGGGGACTTGACTAACAAAGGTTTCTGAACTCTAATTATTAAGTTGCAGAGAAAACAGTTTTTTTAGTAAAGGGGATGAACAAAAGAAAAAGGACCTTTGTCCACCTGCTTCACTTAGCTCTCTCAAGTAAATTACCATTGCTCGTGGGAGAGGCCATTGCCTTAGGTTCCTCCACAAGAAGAGTTGAAGATGGTGCAACATCAAATCCCGTTACCTTACTTCGAATGGAATTTTAGCCCATGAATTTTAATTTTCTAGAGTTTGTGGCCTTTTTTCTTTACTAGATTCCACATATATTTTCTTCTTTTGCCCCCCTCTGAAGTTGAATATGTGTGTGAGTGGTGCAGGCAATACTCTTCTGTCAATTGTGGTCACTTCATATAGTTGAATCATTTATTGTGATATCCTTTGGCCCAGTCTGGTTTCTTGGATTCATCTTGGCTATCTAACATCCTGAAATCATTTTATAATATCTTCCACGGTTTACCAAGGATTTACCTGCATTTTTTCCATGCACTTATTTTAGCTGTGAAAGTATTTGTTCATTTATTTATTTTTCCAGTTAAAATCTTGTAGTTAATATAACTCTGACTTTGCAAGGGGTCAAAAAGGAGACAGTAAAGACATTATTGGATAGGATAAAATTTGAAAATCCTTTTATTAGCCAATTTGATTTATAAAATGTATTCCATTTCACAATTCTATGGTAGAACTAATTGTAATGAAATTTGACAAGAAAATAGACAGGTATAAGGCAATTCAGGGATGACGGAGAATTAGTATTTTTGTTAAAGGTTATTAATTGATTGTTATAAAATGCTCAATATTCAGTAGCACTTCAATATAGTCATCCTGCTCTCCTCCCTTCCCTTGTTTTATTTTTTTATTTTTTATTTTTTTCATTAGGAAGGAGTGCAGGATGACTATTTTGGAGTGCCAATAACAGCTCCCGTATTAAGTATAAATTTTCATCTCATGGATAAAAAGACATGATGATCATTGATCTGGTAGGTAGTTTGGGATCACGGACAACGATTATTTCAATGATACTAACTGAAAAAGTAAACTTAGCTATGAATTCCACCCAATAGATAAGGATATGGTGATAAGTTAGGGATCATTGACCAGTCTGACTCTAGAATTATAAACTTTTATTACTGGAGTATTTTCTGGTGGTTTGGTGCTTGAAGCTTCATGTTCCTTTCAATTATTGAAGTATATAATGAAATATCATTTCCTTCCACAAAATTCATGCCGATTTTCTGGTGGAAGTTTGAATATCGTTTGTCACTCCAGAAAATTCATGGGGTTGTACTGTACATATTCATACCCATTTTAAGAGGGAGACTCAGGTTGGTTTAGAATGGACGTAATGCCATTATGGCTAGGTGAATAGAGATCAATTGACTAATGACAAAGAAAGTTCCATTCTCAGTGCTCCATAAGCTGTATGATCCCATTTGTGTATTGATGTTGTTTGTTGAATATCATTTTGTCTTTCCAGAAAACAGGTTAACTATTTTGAGAAAGATTTTATTTCTTATAATACCTGATACCGATGACACTCTTTGCGTAGATTATCTAAATCTAGATTGTTTATGACACCTTAAAATTGGATCACATAACTAAAATATGTGGCTTTTGCCTTCATTAGGTGTTTGATCAACAGGGAAATTGATTGAATTGTCTGCATCATATGATGATAAGTATTAAAATCATCATCATCATAATCACCATGGTGAATTAAGTGTATAGGCAGTCTTGATGATTTTATATTATGACTAATTAAGATGTCATTACTGAAATGATTTCCATGAATATTGCTGACATGGAAGTACCTTGTACAGCTATGCAATTGATATGCGTTGTACCAGGTGAAATGTTAATGGGTACCTTAAGTTATATCCTTTTCTCATTTCCTTGGATGAAAATGATGATGGCAATGAGATGGTTCCCATTGAAAATGTTGGTGTGAATGAACTACTGTTGATGCTACAGCAGCTATATTTACTTATGAGGGTTCCATCTTGTGATAATGCTATCGACCTTAGTCAAGAATGATGTTGATGGTGCCATGTGAACATCTAGTACAATTCTGGTGTTACTTGTGACATTATTTTTCAGTGTCAATGAGACGGTTCTGTTGTCTATGACCCGGGAACGTGATGTGATGATCTTATGTCCTTTTGCCCTGTTAGTGGATGGTACTCTAAGTTTGGTGATAGACATCAGACCCAAAAAAAAAAAAAAAAAAAGCTTGGTGATAGACAAGAACATCCCAATAAATCGTGTCAAACGTACAAAGAATTACACATTTCAATTATGATGGGGTTGATTTTCATGATTATTACATGGTGTTTTTTTTTTCTCTTCTCTTTTCAATATACTTGCATAATGTGTTGTAGACGTATTGCGTAATGCTAGCTAGTACGACAATAATAACGCAAACATAACCTAGTTCCAGCTGCCCTACATTACATGAGTAACAATCCTTTTAGCTTTGTCCCTGCAACAGAAAATGACTGATGCTATAGTCGGAATTTTCATCGAACATACTGCATTTTTAATGGAACTCAAGGAAGCCTTGCCTGCTTGGGTTGTTCTGAATGAATCTATTATAGTTTCTCATCAATCAAGCATCTTATATACACAGCCACCACACACTTATTTTAGAACTTCCATATTGAATAAGATCAACAATTTGTACCAGTCCATTTGATAGTCTTTGTTGAATGTACTCTCTGTCTTAAAACTTAAGCTCCATTTGGTGCTATTTGAGTGCTTACAAATTTCCTTTATGCTGCAACGAACAGCTAGATGATATTTCTGGGGAAATTGGATGCATGCAGAAATTGTGCCCCTGAAGGTGAAGGACATACTGGTCGGAATCTTTTAGACTCGCGTAATTTTGGGTCATTCCTACTGGGTGGTGCCCTATTGGAGGACAGTTTTGTTTGTCCTTAATGAAATGTCAAACTTGGGGCCATTGGGCCACCGGCAAAACCAAATTGGCTTTACAATTTGCGAGCAATCGGGGGAAGTAGGCTGTACCTTGCTAGGCCTTCCCAAGCTCCCAAAACCACAACCAATCACTCAAGCCTTCTGCCCTTCGATTTGCTTTGCTGCCACTGCCTTCTAATGCCCTCCAATCAATGGCACCTTTGATTTCACTCAGCCAACCAGATTTATGACACGTGGCTCTTTTGTGGCCACTGCTAGTGACCCCCCATGTGATGATGTGAAGCAATATGCAGGCCCAATCATCAGAGGAACAAAGCCAGGTCGCAACGGATGGATTGAACAAATTTCCTTATCAACGGTGCTTGATAGAGAAATTTGATGTTTAGAAAGTCATTGGTTTAATATGTTTTGTGTTAATTCAAATTTTCCTCTTTCATGTCAAAAATACATAATCACTGTAGCAAATTTAAATGCTAAAAAAGGATGCAGGCAAAATTCCTAATTGAAAATTGGACAATACAATGATAAAGTTAGAAAAAAATGGACTAGAGTAGCAAGTTTTGAAGTAGCAATCTTTATATTGAAGTGTTAGGTAAGTTGGAAATGGTTCTCCTTTTATTGTTCTATCGTTTAAGACACTTTTAAGTCTGCAAATTTTAGACGTCAACAGATGATTATATTGTCTCTTTTTTCTCTTTTACCTATGGAAGAGGGAGGATTCGAACCTAGGATCTCTTCCAACATTAGGAGAAAAAGTACCACTAGATTAACATGTTAAGATAGATGATAATATAGTATGAACGATATACAAAATATATTTTCTCATAAATGCCCAAGTTTTATTAGCTTTGGACAAAGTTACAATAATAGTAATAACATATCCCTCCTCTTATGTTAGGGTAATATAAAAAAAGTTTACCCCATTCCAATATAGATAATCAAAGTCATCCTTGAAAATTACGAGGAGTAGATATATGATAGGTTACTTCTAGAGAGAGAAAGGCCCCATTTTAAAACAAGAGGGCTTTAAATTGGGTTGTAGGGAGGTAAAATGAGTAAGTTGGTGAAGGCATCTTCAATTAGAGGCCCACAAGTCTTATTTGAGATTGTTGGATTCTTCCCAAAATCTGACTGGTAATCCATGCTGAGGAACTGGAAATGGGCCATACTGAATCCCACTTTGTGATCCCTCCACTTCCCACCTGCAACACAAATCATAAAATATCAACAACAGCGATCTAAGCAATGTTTCTGCATAATGTTTTTGATAATGATCTAAGTAAGAATCAAAACTTGTTCAGCTGTAAATTCCATCTCTAATCTGATGCAAAAGGGTGTAATGAAAATAGAGATGTTTGCATTTTGTACCTAAATTTGGTCACAAGATGGTGGACCAAAATGAGCATCTCCAGCTTGGCAAGCTCATTTCCAGGACAAGCATGCACTCCTTTGCCAAATGGCATGAAAGTATTAGGCTTTGGACCAACCTATTCACCCACAACCAGAAAAATAAATATAAGGAAAAAAAAATGAAATTTTGGTTTTTACATTGAATTTGTTAGTGTGTGAGAGAGAGAGAGAGATGCTGATACTGGCAAAAACCAGCTGATATCAGACTCTCTCTGGTTTAAACAAAAAACCACCTTTGTCTGCAACATAATACATACATCAAACCTAGATGGGTCAAAATTCTGAGGATCAGAGAAGAATTCTGGATTGTGATGTATGTTCCTGAACAATGGCATCACCTTCCAACCCTTTGGTATAAGATATCCTGCAAAATTGATTGTGATAAATATTAAAGAAATTTATGGACATAAATCCTCTTTACTGCTATCCTGCTAATTAAAAGGCACAGAAATGACCAAGAACCCACTAGTGTAGTGGTTTTGAGCAATTGCTCCTCCAAGAATGGTCTTGGGTTCGAGTCTTAGCATCCATATTGTGTGTGTGAGTTCAGTAGCTATCGCCCCTCTCAATAGGAAAGATCCTCAAAAGAAAAAGAAAAAAGGCACATAAATGAACTTTAAATCCTCACCTTTGTATTCTACATCAACCACAGCTTCCCTGAATGTGAAAGATATGATACTTGCCATTCGCAAGCTCTCTAATAGAACCTGAAATTCCATTTATATTCAGCTCACAGTCAGTCTAAATTTCTTGGTGCTGTTTCGCATTTTGAATACAAGAGTAGTTACAGTTCGGCTTACTCTGTATGTAAGAGGCATGTTCCTAATCTGTGCCCATGTCAAGGGCTTCTTGCATCCATCATTTGCTTCATATATAGCCTTCTGCTCATCCTGCAATAAATAACAGCTTGACATAAACTAACCTTTCACATGTACAATTTGAGTGAAATATTGTAAACTTTGCAAGTTACTCTCACCTTCACAGCTTCAAGAATTTTTGGGTTGTCATGGAGGTATTTGAGGATCCATGTTAAAGCACTGGCTGTAGTGTCCTTGGCTGCAAACAGAATTCCAATGATGTTATCTGAAATTTGATCCTCAGTTAAAGTTTGTCCCTTTTCATCTTGGAAGTTCAGCAGATCACCCAATAGATCCTTCTGTAGTGTTTTCTTCTCTTTCCTCTCACAAATTATCTGACTCAAAATCTGACCAAGCCTTTTCCTTGCCTTTGATAATTACGCAGAAAGAAGAAACAAAAGTCAGTGTCAGATTTAAAGTTTATAATCCTTCTGTATGATTACATATATTATTTTTAGAGAGAGAATTACTATTGCTTACCAAAAGAGCTTTGTGATATGCAGTACCAGGTATCTTTGTTGGAAAAGAATTGTAACCCTTGTCTACTATGCAGTAATTTTCATTGAGCCTTTCTCTATAGGTGTCATTCAACTGACCAAAGATGGCAAGGAAGCCAACATCAAAGGAGAACTGTAGAGGGACACAGTAAGATCCATCCACATATTAGAATAAAATATTACTTTGATCCAAACAAAACAGAAGGACCCATTTCAAAGGAAGTTTTGAGAACATCAGCAATAAGACAAACCAAGTTGAACCACTAATGATGAAACCAATAAGTTGAGCCAAAAAGGCATAAGCAAAAACATGAGGCTCACATTAAAAACATGTTGGGGTGAAACACTAACCTTTTTCATTTCATGATAGGTGTTAATGATCTTGCCACCTGCAGCCCATGACTCCAGGGCGGAAATGGCTAATGCTTCAATGTCAGGAACTAGTTTCCGCATAGTGGTGGGGTTCGGGGACAGAGAGCTTTGAATGAGCTTCCTGAGGCTATTGTGGTAGTCTCCTTGGTGAAAGAACAAAGCTGAAGGACCAATCATCTGCTCTTTGCTCTTGGGGTATGTGGGCTTGAACAAGTGGGCATGAGTGACCAGCACAAACTTTGTGGCCTCAGGGCTTGCCAGCATGACACAAGGGCATCCAAGTATGTGGGTTTTGAATATATCTCCATACCTGATGAACACAAAAAAGGAGGACAAAATGGAACAAGTTTGGATCAAATCCATGGAGAGGAAACATTAATGGAAGATTAATAGGATTCAGAGGTTGATAATAGATTAGAACCTTTTCTGCTTTGAAGCAAAGAATATGTTTGGGTCCATAGAGTACATTTGTAGAGTCTCTCCTATGTAAGGCCACCCCATTGAGCCAGGGGGAAGCTTAGCTTTATGTTTAGAATTTCTCTTTTGTTTCTTTATGAAGTGGTATAACAACAGAGTTGAGAGACAGAGCACTATGTATATCAAACTAGAAGCAATCTCCATACAAATGTAGCACCTGCTTCTCTCTCTCTCTCTCTCTCCCTCTCTCTCTCTCTGAATTCTAGTATGTTTCTCTGATGACTTAGAGGAGTGTATGGTGGAGATAGATGGTTGCCAAGGGAATGCACTCTCAAGTCAATATGAGTATTGATGAGGGGGTTTGGGGTATATATAGAGTGAAAAAGGAGGTGGCTTGCAACTTGCAAGAGCCAAAATCCGATATGGATTTAAGGAAAATAAATAAATAAATCATTTGCCAAATCTTTGAAGGGTCTGGACTAAATTAACACTCTGAAATGGGGAGTACTAGAAATTACTCCTTCACATGAGAACTTTGACTTGTGAGTTTTTGATACAGAAGCTTCTGTATAGCTTAAAGTGGATTAGATTCCTGAAAGTATAGGTAACATGGATTTCTTTTTTTTCTTTTTTCCTATCAAATTTGATAACTGTAATAGTTTATAAATTGGATTGTTATTGCTGCCCACTTTAAACTCCTGAAAGAAATGGTTTATTTCAATTTTTTGTTTAAGTGAAAGAAAGGGTATTAAAATTGGATTGTTGTAAATAAGTTGCAAAATGGAACTGCATGCTAAAGTCTAATAATCTTTGTAGTTGGGTGATTTATGTCATGCATGGATTGCCACCTTGATGTTACTTACAGATCAAAGTTTCAAGTGATGATGACGATTTGAACACATAACTTTGAGCGCAGAGAGAAATACTCTAAATCACTCTAGTTATAAAAGTGAATGAGCACAGAGATAAATGTTCTAAATCACTCGAGATGCAAAGGTGACTTTTGCATAGAAAAGTGGAACTTAATTATGTGTCATATAGGTCGTACTGTTTCCAAATGTGTAAAATATGAGACCTCATCCATGCCCCCTGGGTGGGGATACTTATTGGTCACCTACTTTACTGACAGGTGGTGATTTCCTTACCTCCAAGTTTGTATCCCAGTCGTACCTTGCAGCTTATGTATTTCTTTAGCCGTTCATTTGTCTCAATTTAATCATTACTTTCATTATACATCTTCGATTTCTATCAAGAGGAAAATTTTACGTGAAGAACAGAAATTCAAATTTGGAACATCGAAATATATAAAAGGCTTTATTATACTAGTACTCAAACCTCACGTTGCTCGTCAGAAGTCCCAATGACTCACTTTGTCTTCTTGAACAACATTTTGCATTTTAGTTTGTTATCATGGTTAAGTTCGTTAATATTGATGATGTGGCACATGTGTGAGTCCTCTAACTTTCTACTACGTGAGGGCAATATCAGCATGTTTGACGAAGTTTTTGAGGGAATTAATGTGGGTAAGTGAGACAACAAACGTTGGTAAAAAACAAAATGAGTCATTATGACTTCTGAAGAAATCATGTAGGGTTTGATTATACTTTAAGTTTAAAGGCGCACTACAACAATTAAGTCTAGATAACAAAAAAAATTTCTTCAAGATTGTTAACTGTTTTGATTTCACTTGTCTCGCACCATTCCACACACAGCTTTTAATTTCCTTTAATCTCATTTCCAGAAAGGACTCCAAACCCTATTTTCAAATTTATAACCAAAAACCTTTACTCCAATGGATACAAAACCGCACGCCTAATAATTTTATTATTAAATGACAACCAATATTAAAGAAAACCAGAAGCAGGTAACATATAACTTTGCGATTCAAGATTACATAAATCTTGTGTACCAATTCATTTTTTGTTTATGGTACCATTTTTTCAAGTTTTGTAAGCCAAAGAAAACTAGAAGGTAACATATAACATTGCAGAAGAGTAAATTGTAATCGAAAAGACACTCTAGCTTTATCTAATTTATGGCAGGGAGATCATATTGTGTATCACTTCAGATCTATTTACATTGGTGAGTCTTATCTCTAGTAGAGATGCACTTAATATGGTACAATAATGTGATCTCTCTAGCAACATTCCTAGGGAAAAAGTTATTTAGCGTAATTCCACTTAAGTCGGGCAAACGTCCACAAATAATAAATCAAAGTAAACATATACAGTTCTCCCTCACAATCATCATATGTAAGTATCAGATGTTAAAAACAATAGATCCCTCTTCTCTATCTCCATCTCTTCCAAAAATTAATCAAATCCTCATAAATAAAAAAATAACTCAAACTTCCATGTGGGTACTTAGTACTTACGAATATCACAAAAAGTAACAAAACAAAATCCCATTTCGTAGATTAAATAATCTTGTGCAAAATAAAGTAGCCTTTCTTTTTTGCCTTTTTTTTTTTTTTTTTGTGGGTTGGGTTGAAGAGGATACGTTGGCTTACGGGTTCTACGTACGACGACGCAATACAGCTCATACACCCGCCCCATTAGGATTTCCCTGGGATCCGCAAGCCTGTCAGTAGTCCCCACCTGTGGGTCGGTGATGTTGTTCGGTCAATGCCGATGTGGAATCTTCGCGAGTGCGCGACGTCAACAATCAAAGGAACAGCAACGTCCGTTTGCATCCGTCACCGTCAAACGCTAGATAGACACGACACGTGTAGAAATCTTGGTTGTCCTGATCGAGAGAGTTCGGGACGAGAAGAGAAATAACTGGTTCCACGTGGATGTAGGAACACTGGGGAACCTACAACTTAGGGAAGCCAACAGTGCTGTTTGCCCATAAGGCAATCCGTACGTACACATTGCTCAAAATCACAATATGAATACAAATGCGTGGCGTATGCATACACTTTTTTTTTTTCCCAAATAATATTAATTAAAAATCATATTAGGTAATAAGCACAGTATAGGGTAAGTGATATTTTGCTTATTTCGACTATTATAGCTAGTTGATTATATACACATCACCTGTCACATAATTTGATCAATTAATATGATTGTCTACAATAATTTTTAATTTTTTTGGTCAAGCATCTACAATATTTAAGTTAGTAGAAGAAGTTGTAGAATAGAGAGGGAGGAACCATAAATTTTTCGACGGGTGGGCTAGCTAAATTTTTTAGCTTAAACTCTAATGATCTTTTATATATATATATATATATATATAGTCCCATTCTATTGAGGGATCCCTCAAATAAGCTTATTTGAGGGATCCCTCAATAGAATGGGACTATATATATATATATATACAGAGAGCTTCCATTGAGGGATCCCTCAAATAAGCTTATTTGAGGGATCCCTCAATGGAAGCTCTCTGTATATATATATATATATAGTCCCATTCTATTGAGGGATCCCTCAAATAAGCTTATTTGAGGGATCCCTCAATAGAATGGGACTATATATATATATATATATAGTCCCATTCTATTGAGGGATCCCTCAAATAAGCTTATTTGAGGGATCCCTCAATGGAAGCTCTCTGTATATATATATATATATATATATATATTCTAAACTTACCGTTTCTATAGTTTTTCTCTAAATAAAGTATATACATTAAATCATATAAACAAAAATTAAATTAAATACATTTAATATAAAACAAATATATATTAAATACAAACAAAAATACATATTATTAAAATAAATATACATTCAACAACATAATTGAAAGCATACTTATTCACGTTGTGCCATGCAATCTTTAAGAGTTGAAATATTTTGTTATTGCATCAAAATCGGTTCTATAATTAACTTCTTTTTCAATATAAACAATCATAGAATAATATTTCCCTAATGTGTTCTAGTTTATAGTGGGCCATATAGGTTTTTATTTTGTTCTTTAAAAACCTGCATCAAACAACAGCTAGACTTCATGGCTTGTTTGGCTATGTGAAATTTGTGGTACTTGAGGCCCTAGTATTAAACTCTTTGTTGCACTACTAAGAATTGTCGTTATGTTTGAATGTCCTTTTTTTAATCTCTACCCCCTTATCATTTTAGCAGATAGGTTCACATTAAAAAAAATTATTATTATTATAAAAAAATAATTTATAAATAAATAAATAAAAAGGGCCCTCGCCATGAGCCAGCGGGTAGGAAATTAAACGTTGTGTGGCGCGTCAGTCTAAGGGGTTATCCCAAATTGCTGGTGGGCCATTTGTACAGGTAATTTTTTTTTTCTTCAAAAAGCTAAGATGGATAAATCATCTTCATAATATACATTGGCAAACCCTTTAGCCTTTTAGAGTATATGGAAATTTTGGTGCAGCAAGCAAAGCACCACACATGCTTGGTAACATTTAGGCAAAATGTCAAAACATGCATGCCTGCGTGCGTGCGTGGTGAAGCCATCGTTTTCAAATGGATCCAAAACTTCAAAGTTGGTACTAATTAATTGTAGTTATCTCTAATATAATCTGTACTATGGATAATGGGTCGTATTGGAGGGTCGATACTCAATTTGCTAAGTAGGAGATGTATCATTCATCTTCTTTTCTCAGTTTGCTTTGCTCCTTTAAGGCATTCCTTGTCTCCATGCAACAACAAGAAGCATGCAAACGTACAAAATGTGTACATAATACAATCTTCTAAGATATGAACTTTTGCTAGCTAGGTTAGATGCGTGTCATATTTGAAATCAAGTGACATAACCCACACAACCATTCTGAAACCTGAGTGTGTGTGTGTGTGTGTAGGCCACGTACCAATCAACAATAAGTTGGCTCGGGTTGGACTGAGTTTGGAACTGATTTCAAGCTGCTTATAAGCTTCATCCTTCTATATGAAACTTGTATGACACAATATGTTGAACTGTTCTCTAATGTAATAATAAGTTCAATCTTAGCATGCATAAGTTCATCAAACAGTGATCATGATATTATTGTCTAATTTAATTGAAATATTCAGTATAGTCTGAACCACCAAACATGTCAAATTGAATAGCATTAGAGCTCCAATAGCCTCCAAGCCAACTGGGAGTCTGAGCCGACTTTATATTTTAAGGTTGGTTATATTTTATTCATGCGATTAATTCAAACTCAGGAGTCTTCTAACTAAATAATGCCAGATTTTTTTTTTTTAAGCTTGCTCTTTTTCTCTTCTTTATATATATATATATATATATATATATATATATATAATAAGAACTTGTGTTAAAATGAAAAGAAAAATCAGATAATTAATCCTATTTTTATGGAACACAACTATCCATCATCTTTTTTAATTCTAAAATAAATTTTAATTTTT